CATTCGATCCAGCTGGATCTCTACATTCACAAAAACAAATAAATGATGTTTTACTAAATGCATGATTGTTTTCATTAAACGTTCTCTATTTTGTTGATTGTTAGTTATTTCACTCGTTCAACTCTGCAGGCAATGCTTCTGTTAGATGCATCAGCTGTGGGCGCGGCACATTTTGAGGTGATCTTCCACACACCGTTCAGGGCGGAATAAAACACACTTCAGAAGCGACGCATAACAAAGAAAACTTTTATTATACAGTTCCTTATAAAACTCATCTGAATGCATATCTCAGATTGACAAATAAAAACGATTACAACCACCCTCTGGATGAACGTACAAGTAAACACACTCAGAACTTGATGAGGCAAAATAATGTAATGTTGATTCAGTATCACAGATAACACTTCTTTCAGTTCACATAATTAATCGTTAACGAAATGGATCGCAATCAAATAACAAATAAAATTAATATGGTAACATCAATACTCTCTGTGGAATAAAGAAAGTTATAACGATAAAACTACCATTTTGAAATGATCGAACATCACAATTAATGAAAAGGCACAACACAACAACAACAAATGAAATACACATTAACTTATGATATGATTAAGGTAAGTGATATAAAAAAAGAGGTGATTAGCTCAGCACTTAGCTGCCATTGACTGAGAATACTGTGTGAATTAGACAACGACGCATAAATAACCGACGAACAACTAGTTGTGAACAAATAAACAATCTATAAGTGAATAATCACAAGAAAAACAACAACAACGGCTGAAGTGTCACAACGGCGATTAATTGAATGACTCTTGAAATATGAATTGATTAATATCCAATCTATTGCATTCTTAACTGATAATCACCGTTCTGTGTCACGTATCGAACCCAGGGTAATGCCTGATAACCGCTTTTCTCGATAATCTTCAAATACCGCACCTGCAATGATGAGAATTGAAGCAAGCTTATTTATGAAAATAAAGGAACATTTCATATAACCGAGAGGAAAGCGGCAAATGAAAACATTATTATTGAAAGACCCACTTGCAGACCACTTGTAGTGAAGTAGGGAATTTCAAACTTGACATTAATCGGCGGTTTCCCTTCATTTTCATCACTCCCTATTGAAGGCAGACTGAAATGAGCTCGCATCAGATACTCACGACCACCTGAAAAGTGTACAAACGTTCAAAATTTTCAACAATTTTAACTTTTTTGGCTAAAAGGAAAATTTCCGATGGAAGTAAAATTTTCATGAAATATTCATGAAGAATAAAAAGGAATTTGTCGACGAGACAAACCCGGAAAACTTCTGATCATCCAAACGAATGCGTTCAGCTCCGGAACATACTTGACCGACCCAACCGAGGTTTTGAATTTTGGTGAATCGGCGTCACTCGGCACCGGTATAATCACTTCGACGTGGTTTGCGATCGACTGCTTTTTGAACTGCGATTTCGCCTGAAAATTTATGACAATTTGCAACAATAATTTACGGAATCGATTGAAAATTCGATCAAACTGAAAAATGCTGAATAAAATTCACAGAGTGAGAGTGATTCTGAAAGTAAGAATATTACCTTGACCATATACTCGACTCTCGAGTGCACATGTCTCTCCACACAAGCCTCCACCCATATCAGTGGCTTAACCGTGGTCGTCAATCGATAGCTCATCAACTCGAACTCGCCGTCGGGTGGCACGAAGCTTATCGTTCGATCATTCTCGAATCGTGACAGTCGAACGCACTGATGAAACTTCACATCCTCCAATTCCACCGCCTTACCACGACCACCTTGAAATGCAGCAATCTTTCCGATAATCATTACAACAATAATAAACAACAACTTCCTTACGAGAACAAGTCTGGAATAAGACTTTATCGTTCAGTCCCAAACGCAATTCAGGCATCCCGGAAAGCATCACTCGCATACGAATCGCACCCACCACCTCACTTCTCAACACCGTACCGGATGCATTCGCCTAAATCAGCAACTTCAAGTTTAGGATGATGTTCTAGGAGTTGAGGTTGAGGTGAAGGTTCTTGCCACTGACCAACATATTGACAGACTCGATCACATCCAGGAACACTTCATTCTTACGGTATTTCAAGCCATCTGATCGCCACGAGACAGCGTTTGTTACGGCCATCGGTGGTCTTGGGGCTATGTCGAGCGCGTACCGTTCTTGTGTGATATATCTGAAAGATTATGACAAGATACACTCATCGAATAACGATAAGAACAATTCATATTGTATTAATAAGAGCTGACTAACTCTTGCAATATACGACTTTCCGTAGTTTGAGGATAGCCAAAATCCATCATTTCATCTAATAACTCGTAGATTACAACGAAATTATCACGCACTGACTCCTCTTCTAGATCCTGAATGAATGAACTGCTGCTTTCTTTTTAGGGCATTACAATAAGAACAACAATAGTAACTGAAGATGAGTAACGAACCTTAAAGTATTCGCTGAACACTTGAATACACTTGTACAAAAACGACACCATCATGGCCACATTGATATTCTTCTTGGCCATGGACACCACTGAAATGCTTTTATGCTTGTTCACGATATCAACGTTAATAAGTAATAAACTACTTACGGAAGATATTCATGTGTTTCACGAACACATAGCTGATATCGTTCTTGTGCAGTACGGGTGAGACTTGTCCTTCGTCTTCTTTCTCCATTAACAACGGCATGAATGAGTCAATGGCTGACAATCACCTACATATTTCATATATATATATATACTCTCCCTGTTATTTATTATATGATAAAAATAATAATAACCGTGAGTTATCAAACAAAAATTATAACCATCTATCAGCTGTTTTCAATTTTACTTCGTCGGCTCGATAACTTTTTTGAATGTTTGAAATTTCGACAGAAATGCAAAATTTGCACTGAATCAATTTTATATTTGCGTTTGAATCACTCACATTGCCTTTGAAATCAAGGATGAATATTGCTGAGCAGGACATCTTTAATGATGAATTACGTGTTGTTGTTTGTTTGTAAAGTTGAGCTGCTTTTTGAGTTTTGTTAATATCGCTCTGTATAGATTATATCTGAAATATTTTTAGTTTATGAATTGTTAATTG